CCCCCCCCCCCCCCCCCATGCCCCATTCTGCACCCAACCTCTCCCTCCACATCCAGAAGAAGGTTAACTATTCACCCACCTGGACTCCCTTGTGTGTTTGAGATAGTAGGAACTGCAGATGCTGGAAAATCTGAGATAACAAGGTGTAGAGCTGGATGAACGCAGCATCATAGGAGCAGGAACCTTTTTCCCCCATGATGCTGCTTGGCCTGCTGTGTTCATCCAGCTCTACACCTTGTTATCCCTTGTGTGTTCACCCATTTGAGGTTGGGGTATTCTATTTTACTTGCTATTTGAGTAAGGGTTGGGATGTTTTCAGTTTGTTTTCATGGGTGATATACTCCCCAGCTTCTCTAGGTTAGAAAGATTATCTGTGGATTGGTATGGGCAAGATCGGCTGAACAGCCCCCTTCATTGCTATGTCATAGAGTCATACAGCATGGAAACAGACCCGTCCATGCTGAACGTAATCTTAAACTAAACCAATCCCACCTGCCTGCTCCTGGCCCATATCCCTCCAAACCTTTCCTATTCGGGTACTTATCCAAATGTGTTTTAACTGTTGTAATTGTACTCGTATTCACCACTTCCTCAGGAAGTTCATTCTGCATGAGAGTCACTGTCTGTATAAAAAAAAACAAAAATTGCCCTTCATGTCTTTTTTTAAAATCTCTGTCCTCTCACCTTAAGTATGCCCTCGAGATCATCTCGGTTCTATTGCCCTGTGGTGGTGGTTCTTAATGGTTTGGTATTTTCCTTTGATCTGTCTGTGGGCCTGGCTATACCCTTTGCTGAATCCTTAACAATTGGCCATGTTGCTTTAAGAATTTAAAACTTCATTAAAAAGATGTGTGCAACTAGGTGGTAGTCTGCTTTTGTTTTGAAAATTTTGGAACCTGATTTTAAATTCTTAAATGTGGTGATGGGGTTTGATTTTTGCATCATGTGGATTTAATAATTCACCAGAAGAAGAATATATACTTGCTGAGCTATCCCATGGGCTGCTGTGGTGTTTACCCTACAGAGTGCTAATCTCTGGGTTGACTTTTTTTTTTCATTTAGTTTATTGCTGGATATATATTTCTAAGGATTGTAGTTTTCAAAACTTTATAAATAGTAACTGTAGATGCAACTGGAGGTGATCTTCCACGCCAAACAAATGTGGAAACAATTTGACAGCAAGGGGCCACATCAAAAAAAAGGGAAGGAAGTGATCTATAAAAAAATTGAGTTTGACTATTCTGCCCTAGGGCAGTGGTTTTATTCAGCCTAAGATATAAAGAGGCACTTGAGCTGGTTCCCTGAATGTCTGTTTCTCACAGAGCCTTGCCTGCTAGGTGACCCTGTTGGCAAATCTTCAGCATGCTGTATGTGATTTCCTGAGCATTAAATTTTTCGAGTGTGGAGAATTATGGGCAGCGTGCCCTCAATTTTTTTGTAATATGCAATGGATTGTGTGTAATTGTAATGTTGGCCCTTAATCTATGAAAGATGTGCTTTATTCCTGTGGTTTGCCACTCAGTAGAATAGCTTTACTTTATGTAATCAAAAGATTCTTTTACAGATGGATTCAGGCGACTATAGAACCTGCAGGGCGAATCAGAAAAATCAACCAACTTAAGACTCCTCCAGCAAAAAACATGAAGTTGGTGTTCTGCACTTGTGTCTCTGGGTGACTGGGTTCATTAGCATGAGAGACTGATGTCTGATACTAATGATGACACATGGGTATCACTTCCTGCAGAGTAATAAATATGAGATTATGCATTTCTTCGTGCTGTTAGAGATTAAAGGAAATGTAATTTCCCATCTTGGTGGTATTCAAGTTTTTGCAGTTTGAGATTAATTGTTCCCTGTTGCTGGTTTAAATCCTTTTGAAATTTTATTCAAACAATTTTTACTGGTGACTTTACCAAATGTCTATGCTGTATAGTTTGGGAATACAGTTATTATTGAATGAAGCTCCTTTTCATACAAGTTCTTGATGTGCATAGTTTTATTTTCAGTTTATTTTTGTTTTTTATTAACCAACTTGTCAGTGAAGTTTTCAGTTATTTTTATGTGAAAACCTAGCTTACATATGGATAAAGGTAGCTTCAGAATCAATTTGTGCTTTTCAGATTTGTACATTCTGACATCCTTTGTGGAATTTTGCACATCTGTCTCATAGCAAGGAAATGCAATCTAGTGACATGTGACTTGGACAAGGCAACCAAAAGAAGTCTTGAAACAATAGTAATGCATCCTGTACCTGTGAAGATACATTCTGCTTTTGAATTCAGATGGAGAAGCTCCCTGTTCTCTCTAATGATGAGAAATTGATTTGGGGTGGTTATATTTGATTATTATTAGTTTGTATCTACTGTTAAATTTTCTCTGAATTTACCAGTAAGCAGTTGAGCCATACAGACCATGAGAACATAAGAAATAGGAGCAGGAGTAGGTTATTCAGCCCCCGAAATCTGCATCATCATTGTTTAAGATCGTGGCTGATCTTCCCCAAGCTTCAACCTTCCTTTTGTGTCAGCTCCTCGTAGCCATCCGCTCTCCAATTTTAAAAAAAAATCTATTTCCTCTTTAAATACTTGTGATCTAGCCACCACAGCCCCCTGTGATAGTGAATGACTGGAATTCTACTTTCTCTGAGCAATGAAATTCCTTCACATCTCAGTTTTCAATGAGTTGTGGAATGAGGGACAATATCCCAAGTTTGAGATTCCTCCACTAGTGGAAATAACCCAACATAAACCCTTGTCTTGCATATTTTAATAAGATCATCCCTTCTCCTTCTAAATGTTAATGAATAAAAGTCTAACCTGTTTAGCCGTTCTTGATAAGTCAACCCTTTTTATCTCAGGAATCAGCCAGGTGAATCTGTCTTGAATGCCTCCAATGCCAATATATCCTTAAATATGGAGACCAGAACTTTACGCAGTACTCCAGATGTGGCCACTCAAATGTCCTGTATAGTTGTAACAGGACTTCTCTATTTTAAACTCCAACCCTTTGTAATGAAGGCCAAAATTCAATTCGCTTCAATTAATTGCTACACCTGCATGCTAACCATTGTGTTTTGTGCACAAGAACTGTCATATTTCTCTGTAACTCATCTTTTGGCGTTTCTCCATTCAAATAATGGTCTACCTTTTTAGTTTCTTCCCACCCAAGTATATGACTTCTCACTTTTCTGCATTAAGTTCCATCAGCTAAGTTTTGCCCACTTAATTGGCCACCTAGCCTGTTGAAGATTCCTTATGTTCTCCACACAACGTGTCCTCCCTGCTATTTTTGTTTTGTCAGCAAGTTGGATACATTACACTCTGCCCCCTCCAAGTCAGTAAAGTTCAGTGGAAATAATTGTGGCCCCAGGGCGGACCTTTTGGAACTCCATTAGCTGTGTTTCTGACCTGAAAATGACCAATTAATCCTAACTGTCCTTTTTTTTTTGTGATAACCAATGTTCAATCCATGCTGATACCATACCCCTGATACTGAGTTCCTGTGTTGTACAGTAGTCCTTTTATGTGGCACTTCATTGAATGTATTTTGGAAATCCAGTACCACTGATTTTTTTTTTTTCCCCTTGTATCAACTCTGCTTACTATATCCTCAAAGAACTTTAGCAAATTAGCCAAACATGATTCCTTTTCAGAAAGCCATAGTGACGCTGTGTCAAGCTTTTCTAAATATTTTGCTATATCTTCCTTGGACTCTAGCATATTTCCAACAACAGTTGTTAGGATAACTGACCTATATTTTCCTGCTTTTGGTCTCCTTCCCTTCTTGAACAGGAGCATCAAGTAACAGCTTTCCAGTCTGCTGGAGTCCACTGAAGTTGACTATTGCCCACCCTTTCTCCACAGCCACTTCCTTTAAAACTCTGAGGTACAGACCATCAGGTCCTGACAGCTTGTCTGCCTTCAGTCCACTAGATTCACAAATATTTTGTCCCTTGTGATAGCAGCTGTTATAGGACCTTTTGCCCCATTAGTACCTTCCTTATGCAAAGTCCTGGGAATGTTTATTGTGCCTTCTCGCATGAAAACTGGTGCAAAATATTGATTTATGATTTACCATTTCCCTGATCCTGTTATCCTAGTCGCATCTTTCAAGGGTTCCACACTCGTTAGCTGATCTTTCTTTTTATATAAATGAAAAGGAAGGGTTTAGAGGGATATGGGCCAAATGCTGGCAAATGGGACTAGACTAATTTCGGATATCTGGCCAGCATGGACGAGTTGGACTGAAGGGCCTGTTTTCATGCTGTACAGCTCTATGACCTGTAGAAATTCTGGCTTTTTTGTTTTCATTTTCTTGCCGATTCATTTTCTTAACTAATTTTCCCCTTTTTATTTAAAAACAAAACAAGGATAATCTGAAGTCTGTCAGATCAATTAACTCAGCTGGGATGACCATGCAGGCCAAATAATTGACTTCAGCATACCCTAGGTTAGGGCAAAGGGAAGATGAGCCAACTAGCTAGGGCTCTCTCTTCTGATTACTGCATTCATTAGATATGTCTGGCAAGAATGAAGAATCATGACTTGTGTAAGGTACCAGATGTGCATGTGGAATTACACAAGATTACCAGGCAATGCAAACAATTATAGGCCATTTAGCCTTGAACGTTTACGCCATTGTTAGATTGTGACTGTTCTCCGTTTGCCTGACTTGGTTTCATTCTTCTTAATCCTCTTGCCTAATAAACCTCTACCTCAGTTTTTGGAGGAGAGAATTCTAGTTTTCCACTATTCTCAATGTTGTTGTCACTTCGGTTCAGGCGGTATCAATCAGTCATTGAACCCACAACCAGAAATCATAAACTAAGATGAAACTTCTGTTTAGTACTAAAGAGAAACTGCATTGTCAGAGGAACCATCTATTAGTTTAGACATTGACTTTGCTGTACCAGTAGTTCAGTTGAATGTAAAATATTGCACTTAGCTGGCACTGTTAAGTACATGCAGGAAAGATCTGACATGGCTCACCACTTGTCCCTCAACCAATATGTTAAGTAGATTAACATTCATTCATTTGTTATTTTGCTGAAACACGGATCTGACTTTTCTCCTCCATGTTATCTGAACTGAGCGTTTTTTACTCTTTTTATTTGTATTGTTTGTGAGATTTTGCCTGTGATGACCAGCTATTTAACAGCAGCGCTAGTATTTTTAAATGGAGTGCATTGCTTTTGAAGCAATATGAAATTTAGGAATAGGAGGAAGCTCCTACAGATTTTGAAATTGATAAAGCCCTTAAATTAGAAAATACGAAAACTAGTGTGTATGATAAGAGTTAAACATGACTGTAGATGGGCAGGAATAATTCTGATTTGGCTAATCTGATTCCAGTGGGTTTTGAAAGTCGTGGACGATGTGTTAGTAAATGTTATTTTTACTTCAGCTCCATTTTGAGAAAGTACAGCTGTTTTGCCAATTGTGAATGGTTCGTTTCCCTGTTGGAAACTATTTCTTCCTCAAAGCTTTCTCCTGAGTTAAATCCAGTGTCAAAGTAGATGTTTGCTCTTTAAACGAAGTTGAAAAGCAGCCCTTTACTGCTCTGGAGGAGTCATTAGCTGGAAGTAAATGACTATGCTTTGCTGTGGATTAGGGGCAAACCTTCAAAATGTAAAGCTTTCATCTTATCCCAGCAGGAAGTTTTAGATGTCCTGGTGATGGAATTCTTCTAATGACCTCTGCATAACTGCAAATTACTGCTTCCTCTTTCAAGTGTTTTTATTTCGTAGATAAAACAAAATTTATGACAGGACTGATTGGAGTGGTGGTCGATATATGAGCCAGTGGTTGTCTGGAGCCTGGTCCTTCTCCTTAAATTGTGTGATTGATCTAAATGGAAACTGAGCAACATCTGGTTTCTGTCTGAAGACTGTTGAATGTGAAGTCATTATGTTTAGTATGTTGAGTAATTGGGAGTGTTCTTGAATGGTTTGTCATTTTAAATTTAACTATCTGGGCCACTGGCGAATAGGAAGCCTGGTCCAGCCTACCTAAATTCAGTGAGTCAGCAAGAGGAACTTTTGAACGATGCAAATTCAGTTCATAACAGCCAGCCTCTTTGTTTTTTCATTCTGATGGAGAACAGTAAAATTTCTGCATGCATTTCTGGAAATCATTTGTTAATTGTTCTACTGACCCCAGGATCCTGTTGGACTTCAATAGGACTTCGGTCTGTAATAATTTGATATTGTTTAAATTGAAATCAGTATTTCTAGAATGTTGAGTGAAGTGGAAAATAATGTGGGTCTAAATTATGTGCTTAATTCTTGCAGTTCATTGGTATGCTCAGGACTCTTGAAGAGTTCATTGTTAACGATGCCCAGCAGTCTGAGTCTGCTTTTTTTTTGGTTCCTTCCACCCACCCCACCAGTGTGACTAATCCCCCTACCCCTGCCACCACCTGTCTGTGTAGGTGTTGATCAATGGTTTATAATTGCACAGATGCCAGTAATCTTCGAGTAAGTCACTGGCTAGTTTTCTTGAGAGGCAATGATTAATCACCACTGTAGCCATGCTATCATAATGGAATTAATATAATAGCATATTACAGTTTTGGCGTATTAAGTCTGTCAGCTGCTATGACCGGGTGGGTAGGGGGAATCTACACTGTAACCCACCCTCGGTCAGTTGTGACAAGTATTTAACTAATTGTTGGCATAAAGCTTTGATACTTCAATTAAAAATAGTTTGCTAGGAAATAAAGGAACCAATCTCCAAGGTCGTCTTGAGTGAATCACTTTTAACCTATTAAAAAAAGGGGGATATAAAATGATAATGTAACATTAAACATTCTCAAAGACCAGTAATAAGTTCAAAAGGGCAGTTGTCTGACTGCTACAGGAAGGGCGAATAAAGCCTTGGCAGTTCTTTAAAATTCTTTGGAAGCTTTGAGGTGTTAGATTCTTAATCTGTGACCATTGTGAACTGTATCCTCAGCAGTAACTGGATCTTTAGGTTTCTTGCAGAACAGGCAGGTGAGTCTTTCATCTCCCAATATTTAAAATTTTCATGCACATCAGTTAAACAGGAGATGCTGTTTTCTTGATGCATACTCAGTTGCCTTGTTTCAATGTCTTTAGATGAAAATTGTAATTTCAAAAGTGCAGATGACATTTTTATTGCACATATGTCTCCTGAAGGTTTCCTCCGTTTGTAGTCAGGTGACCATTAGAGCCATTTTTGATCCCTGTTTCTTCCTTTCTAAAACTGTTTTGGTCTATAAAAGGTCTCTGATTTAACAATTTGGTGATGTTAAAATTCCATTGTCCATATTTACCACTATTGTAAAAGTCTCTTCAAGTTGAAATACAAACTTATACCTGGAGCATTACAGATCTTACAGCATCTGTGGGACAAAACAGTTGCAGTTTCAAGTCTAATGTGACTTTGGAAATTAGAGCTGCCTGGTTATATCCAAGTCCCAGTCTCGCCTCGCCTCTTCTCCTCTCTTATCCCCCCCATCACCCCCAAAAAAGTCAGATCTTTTGAATGCTCCTATGAAATCCATTTCCATCATCTTATCAGGTAGTATGTTCCACATTTTAACTGTTGTTAAAACATACCATTTCCCCTGTAGCTCTTTTGGTGATCATTTTAAATCTGTGGTTATTTTATAATCTCTAGTTGCTGAACCAGAAAAGGGTTCTTTCTACACAGCCCTTTTAACACCTTTCCTCCTTCTGAATACCTCTATTAGGTATGCCTTAACTTTCTCTGCTCTAATGAGGTGGGGGGTGGGGGAGAGAAATGTTTTTTCCAATCTTTCCAGTCTCTCATCTCAGAAACACTCTAGTAAGCTGCCTTTATATCTTCACCTTCCTAGTGTGTTGTCTGCATTTGTAACGTATTCTGAGACTCTGTCAGTGATTTGTAAAGGCTTAACATGATTTCTGTGTCTTTATATCTTATGTCCTCATTTACAGAGCCAAATGTCTGGTATGCTTTAACTGCCATGTTTAGTCATACAGATGTAAAGGGAATGTAATCATTCGTAGTACATCATTCCCATACGCAAGGAAGATTTAAAGTTGTAGTCGGAACTTCTGCTATCATGGTCCGCCTTTTGTTAGCATTCTGGGATGCATCTCATCTGAACTCGATGATTTGTTAACTTTGAGTAACGTTGATCTATTCTGTACCTCCTTGCTATCCAGTTTTGTTCTAGTCAGTGTCTCCTCTTCTGTTATGACAGTAACTTCATTGTTTTCTTTTGTGAAGACCGATGCCTCGCAATGCTAGGGACCTGGGTTCAATTGCAGCCTTGGGTGACTGTCTGTGAGGAGTTTGTACGTTCCCACCATGTCTATGTGGGTTTCCTCTAGATACTCTGGTTGCCTCCCACAGTCCGAAGATATGTAGGTGGACTGGCTGTGCTAAATTGCCCATGGTGTCCAGAATGTGCAGGCTAGGTGGATTAGCCAAGGGAAATGCAGGGTTACAGGAATAGGACAGTGGGATGGGTCTGGATGGGATGCTGTTTGGAGGGTCAATGTGGACTCGATGGGCAAAATGGCCTGCTTCCGCTGTGCATGGATTGTATGATTCCACGATCTCTATCATTCCCTCTGACTTATCAAGATGTTCAGATATAGTAATATAATGGTTGTTACTGGGCTTGTAATTCAGAGGCTTTGACTAACTTCCACAGACAGGAGTTCAAATCTCTTCATGTCAGCTATGAATTTTTCTTGTGGAAAAAATATATCAAGTGAGAAATAAGCTAATGAATCTGTGGAGCTGGTGTAAAAACTCTTCTAGTTCATTACTATCCTTTTTTCTTACGGGCAAATCATCTGCTGTATTTCTGTTTTGACTCATTTGCAACTCTAGATACCAGACCACGGTTGTTCACTCTTTATTTTTGGCTCCCTCGGAAGATAATTTGCAGGGATAGTCAATAAATGCCAGTGTTGTTCACGTCCTTTGCATTACTAAAGAAATAGTACAAAGCTGTTAATTCCCCCTATGAGGATGTGATTTTAATTGGTTAAAACTGTCATATTTTCTGCACTGTCTAACATCATGAAATATTGAGAAGCAGGATTTTAATTGTATGATTTGTATCTCCATACAGGGATAAGACTGTTAAAAGGAATGGCGTCAGGACTAATTTCTCCAAATGTACTCTCTGATGATGAGGAGGTCGGTGTTTGGGAATCGACTGCTGTTGATACATTGAATGGGGCCATTGTGAAAAAACAATTGTTGCCAGAACTCTCTGTCATCTCACCAGGAACGAACACACCAAATTGTGGTGATGCAGGGCAAGTCCCTGTAGAGACGGTTCCAGAAGAGAGAGTGAAGGTTTACCTCCGGGTTAGACCATTCACGGAGTCTGAGCTCGAGAAAGGAGAATCGCAGGTCAGTGGCAGACAGCAGAGTTTTTATTTTTAATAATGTTTTTCAATTCCATTCAATGGGTTTTTTAACATCAGATGCCTCATTAAACTAAGTCTCCTCTGTCTTCTCAGACACAAGATCCTTTGGAGGAACAGGAGTTTATTGGCCAGTTTTTTACCTTCAAAATCAATGTGACTGAAACTGATTATTTCCTGATTTTCTATCAACTTGCTAATGGAACCTTGTTATCTGCAAGTTAGCTGCCTTGCTTCCTACCTTGTAACAGTGAGGACACGTCCAAAGTACTTAATTAGCTGTTAACTGCTTCAGGTTGTCCTAAGGTTGAAAAATATGCTATGGTCTTTTTTATATCTAATTTGTCAAATTAGAAATACTGTAATGCTTTCATTCCAATCTCCTAAAAATTTTTAGTATTGCTTTGTTTCATTTGAGATTTTAAACATAGAAATGCATCGAATTTACGAATCTGAAACCACACCATTTGTCTAATCAAGTGGTAATCTTGCCCACATTAAAATGGTTGTCGTACCTTTCGCCCACCCTGTTCCTCTATTGTTTCAGCTCCTTTTCCCATCATCGAACTATCCCATCTGATCTGCTATATTAAAATAGTTGCTACCTCAGCTACTGACCTTGGGTAAATTCCACAGCCTCTCAACTCTGAAGAAGATTCTGTGCTCTATTCTAAATATATGTTGTGTAATTTACTTATCTATGTATCCTCAATTTTGTCCTGTTAGCTACTGGAAAAAATATACTCCAGTCTACTTCATCTCACTTTTTTCCATAATTTTAAACATTTCTACTATATAGCCCCTTAATATTTTTTAAAAAAGCAAAAAGCTGTGGATGCTGGAGATCTGAAATCTAAAAGACCAATTTATGATTCTGCCCCTTTAATATGTTGTGCTTGTCAAAAAATACCTAAGTGTGTCCTCAATGTTCATTTCCTCATTACCAGGCAGTATCTTCATGAATACCATGTTAAACATCCACTTCCTTCATGAGCGTACTGTGGCAGTAGTGTGTGCTACAAGAATTTACTAAGCCTTCTTTGACAGCACCTCTTAAACCTGCAATCTCTACCATCCAGAAAAACAAGGACAGCCACTACTTGCAATTTCTACCCCCAAGCCATACACTTCCTGACTTGGAACTTTAGTGCCATTTCTTCACTTGTTGGCCAAAATTATAGAGTTCTTTCATGGCGTTATGGGTGTCACAACGCTAGGTGGACAACAGTGGTCCAAGAATTTATATCATGCATATAAACAATTCTCCTGTCCCATCTGGGGAAGGGGGGGTGATCCTGAGAAATTCCCTCTGATCAATTTGCTGTCAAAATTTGTTTTTCAGTTGGACCTTTCACTCATTTCAGTTGGACCATTCATTGAATTATTTCATTAAATTGAAGTAGCAAGTTCAATTCCAAGCTATATAGACAAGGTCTTCTTATCCAAAAGGAAACCACTTTCCAAATGAATCAGTTCTTTGCCTTTGACATAATGAAGTATTACTAGAAGTGAAACCAATCTAATTGAATCGTTAATTTTCCTAGTTTTAAATTTTGGAAACAGTTGCTCAGTCGTGATTATTTTTCAAATTCCCACAGGATTGTGTTCTCATTGAGGATTCTGAAACACTTTTACTGCGAGCTCCCAAGGACTCATTTGCCATGCGGAGCTCGGAGCGCGGAATTGGCCAGGCTGTACATAAATTCACCTTCTCTCAGGTTTGAAATATAAATTTAAATATTCTAATAAGTTCTCAAAATCATTGAGTGAGCCAACCATTTTGTTGGATATTGTCAATATATTGTTGCAATTAAATTTTGATTAACTTGCATGATTTTTTTTCCTGGTCTGTCTTGCTTTTGTTATAAGGGAATGTAATCTAAGTGAGAACACAGTGGGGGATGAAAGTAATTGGGCTACATGAGTTCAGCGAAACGTGAATGTGCTGCATACAACACATTCATTCCTTTAATGCAGGTTAAAACCTGGATCATTCATTCAGTGTTTTGACCTCACCAAAGAATCATCAAATTAACTTTGAAAAATTGCAGCTGCTGGTACCACCTTATCTGTCTTTCCAGTTGCCAGGAAACCGAACCCGGCTCCTTTCTTACAGCTTGCGCTTGTCCAACCTGCAGACCAAACAAGTGTGTGCTGTGAGCTTCATTTCAGTAATTTCCACCGATAGATTAGGTCACTCTGTAATTACTTAGGTGACTTATGTGAATGGAGCTGCTTTAAAATAGCCAGCAGTAATTTTTAATTTTGTTAACCTCCATATAAGTCGGTGATCAACAGGTTTTAAACCAGCAGTCTGGATAGATTCTGTCGGTGTGCACTGCTTCAAATAGGTTTATAATGGTTAGAGTGGTAACATTGCTCCTATTATGATTATAGAACATCTAGTCGTGACAGCTCCTGGCATATGTTTTTGAGAAATTTGCAGAATTCGGTTAGACCTAATAGCTTTATTGGGTTTTCTTAACTGCTGCTTGTGTACCTGACTGCATTATATTTATTTCTCTGGTGTGTTTTCTGTCGTCCCCTAATGCTGTCAATGTGTAACTGCCCCAGTTGGATGTCTTGCATATTTTAATCCTAGATCCTCACTTGTTGCTGATGTGCTTATGTGGCAAGAGCACATATCGTTGGCAGATTGTGCATATCACACTAAAGGCAAATTTTCCAGCCAGTCCATATAGGGACAAGCAGTACAACTGGAATTATATGTAGGAGGGGGTAGTATTTCTATCTTGCTTGTATGACTTCAGTTTCAGTCGAAACAAAGCAGACTGGCCCCCTGGTCCTGATGACTTGCATTCTAAGGTTTTAAGAGAAGAATACATTGAATTGCTTTTGATCTTCCAGAATGGACCCCAGAAATTGGAAGCTGACAAATGTAACCTGTGGCTCAAAACTGTTCCAAGAGAGAAAGTGGTAAACTGTTTGGGGGGTCTGACAACAATTTGTTCTTGTGTCACACCACCTTCTTTTTCGCTGGTAGAATCTCCCAAGGCACTTCACAGGACTTCTATAAAACATAGCTTTGTTTCAAACCACATTATCTGCATAGACATTTCCTAAAATGTTTGGTCAATTAAGATGCTTTTAACACCTCTTAAATGCATACAGGGTTCGAGAAGAGAATTTCCGAGCTTATAGTCTTTGCGGCTATAGGTACAGTGGCTAATGGTGGAACAACTAAAACTGGGGTGCTCATGAGATTTGATTTGGCGGGTGCATATTTTCAAAGGGTTATGGTGTTTAAAGAGAGTAGAGGTATGAAGGGATTTGAAACTAGGACAAACATTCTAACACTTGAGGCCAAGCACCTGACAATCAAATTGGAAGGGTCTAGAAAAGCATGGTGAGGCACAGTTGGCTGAAGTGATTGATGTCAATTATTGGCATTGATTGACAAGTGATTATGGTCTCCAGATCAATTTTTGAACTTTGAGTTAAAGAGTTGAAAAAATGACATAGCAAGATTTCATACTGTGATTAGTTACAGTACTATGGCTAAACACTATATATTTTCTTGTTGTAGACAACTTATCGTTTACAACAGAGGGACCTTCCTCCTTTTAGATTTGGCACATGTTTCATGCTGTGGGATTATAGTCTGCAGTGCTTAGGCCCCAACTATTCCATAAGATCATTATAATTAGGAGCAGAATTAGGACATTCAGCCAATCATGTCTGTTCCACCATTTGATCATGGCTGATATGTTTCTCAATCCTATTCTCCTGCCTTCTCTCTATAACCCTTGATCCTCTTCCAGTCAAGAACTTATCTATCTGTGTCTTAAATACACTGCATGACCTTGCAACAGTTTGCAGCCCTGAGTACCAGTACTGACTGTTGGGCTTGAGTCTCTGGAGCAGGGTGTTCAAACCCTGACATTCTGACCTCGAGGCGTGAGTGCTAACCATTTAGCCACGGCTGAAATATACTGCCTTCCTCAGAATTCCTGAGCCTACCTGTTCTTTTCTCCTGGTCTACAGCAACGATTTGGTTGAGGTAATAAAGTAATATCTCCAAGTTTGCTGACCATTCAAAACTAGGTGACAGTGATAGTGCTGAGGACGATGTAAAGATTATTCAGGACAGTTCAGACAAGTTACATGAATAGGCAATATATGTCGCATGCAGTTTAATGTGAATAAATGTAAATTTTTCCACTTCAAAAAGCAAAACAGAATGGCAGAGTATTATTTAAATATTGATTGGGGAAAGGTTGGTGTATGAAACGCTTAGTGCCCTTGTACACTGGTCAATTGAAAGCAACCATTCGGGTACCGCAAGGTGTTAGAAAGGCAAATAGTATGTTGGTCTTCCTTGCTAGAAGACTTGACTCTAGCAGTTAGGAGGTCTTTCTGCAGCTGTACAGTGCCTTGGTGAGACTACACCTGGAGTGTTGTGTATAGTTTTGGTCTCCTTGCCTATGAAAAACTATACTTGCCATTAGAGGGAGTGCAGTTGAGGTTCACCAGGTTGCTTTGAGTCAATCTTGAGATGGCGGTTTTGTTGTATGAGGTGAGATTAGGGCAATGAGGCCTTTACTCACTGGAGTTCAGAAGAATGAGAAGAGATCTCATTGTAACACAATATCCTGACAGGGCCGAACAGATTCTGTCTGTCAGGATGATGTTTCCCCAGTGGGTGGTCCAGAAGAAGGGATCGTGATCTCAGGATATGTAATTTTGTCCTGAGACAAGGAGAAAGTTCCTCACTCGAGGAAAGATGAATCTGAGGAATTCTCTTCCACTGGAGGTGTGGAGGTGAAATGGGTGTGGGGTAGGTTTATTAGTCTGGCTTTGAGGTAGAGGATCAGCCATGATTGTTGAAGTGCCTCAAAGGGCCAAATGGTCTATTCATGCTCCAATATGTAGCAAACAGTTCACAATCGTTTCCAGCTTCTGCTGGGTTCCTGTATCCTGAATTCACTGACTAACTTCAAGTGATGGTCTCGAGACACTTCTTTCCTCAAACAACAGGAAGATGCAGCATGCCTGAATACACTAGTCATCCTGCCATATATCAAGAACGTATCAGATGACCACCAGACTACTCCAACTGCTAGGAATTGTGGTAATGCACAAACCCACAAGTACACTACAACAACTACTGGCAAGAGCAAAGGATCACATACCCACAACTAACAGGACGAACGTTACTTATAAAATCCCACGTGAGGACTGCCACAAACACTACATCGGATAAACCAGGAGAAAACTAGCTATCAGGGTACATGAGCACCAACCAACTATTGCTTGTTTCCATACATTCGGACAAAGAAGGCCACCAATTCGACTGGGACAGTGTGACCATCCTAGGACAAGCCAACCAAAGGCATGTGCGGGATTTCCTAGAGGTGCTGAACCGGAACTCCATCAGCAAACATGTGGAAATGGATCCCATATACCAACCACTAGGAAGAAGAACCGGAACTGAGGCCAACCACCACATCAGACTGGCCCCCACAAATAACAAGCGGGACAAATCAACAATGCTTCATCGAAGTGCACTGATGATGTTACCTACTATGGTGACAAAACGTCTGCAAACCAACCTACCAGTTCAGCGAACAAATCAACAACATCTTTCCTCAGTTTCAGGTTTTCTTGAATCTATCACCAGCAGTAAAGCTTGTTCTGATTTTGTTTTTCTGGACATATCACAATCTGTGTGAGATTCATTGACTTGATGCCTAAGAATCAAATTCTGATGCTTCTTGGGAAAGTTACAAGGGGTGTGCATTATTGGATTCTTCATTGTGAGCTAGAAATGTTTGGAAACAATTGGTGCAAAGTCCTATTCCTCCTAAGCATGCAATACATCATCACCTATCGAACCTTAACTCATGAAGGAAATCCAATTAAATTTTATTTTCTAAAAATTCTGATGTGGTAAGACTTGTTAGGTTTTATTTATACAGGCAGTCAGAACAATATGTGGAGTATTAAAATGAAATCATTAATTACCATGAACAATTTTAAAAAATCCTGACATTCTTCTGATTTTTAATGTAAACTCCCAACATTTATTTTGTTTGTTCCCTCAGATATTTCGCCCTGAGACAAACCAGAAAATAGTCTTTGATGTTGTCATGAAGAACTTGGTAAAGGAAGCACTGGAGGGACAGAATTGTTTGGTTTATACCTATGGTGTAACAAACTCTGGCAAAACCTACACCATTCAAGGTCAAATACAATTAATGTCTGCTCATGTACTTGATATATCATCTTATCTTGGAAAGAGAGTTTAAGTTATGATTTTACAGGAACATTTTCCATTGTAGGCAGCAGGCGTGACAATGGCATTCTCCCTCGATCACTGGCCATGATATTCAACAGCATCCAGGGAAAACTATATCCCAGGATGGACCTGAAGCCTAACCTCTGTAATGATGTAATTAAGCTGGATAACAAGATGGTGAGGCAAGAAGAGCTGAAGAAGCTTTCATTACTTGGTGCCAGAGAGGTTGGTGCGAATTGTTTATTTTTATTACTGAAAACACATGATTACAAGAGCTTAAATGTGACTATGTCAACTGTAGGTGCCCTGTTGAGCACTATGTAGGTTTGTGCGTGTCAATCTTGTATATTGCAGTACAAAATGTGCTCAGTTTTCCATTTTTTGTGTATTTACTACTTTTGTAACCCATAAAGCTTTCCTATTGCTATTGGATCAAGAGGTTTCTTTATATTCTGTTATTTTATATGAAGTTGTTTGGACTGACTTTCCTTACTTGTGAAACTATGGTACAATTGCACTGGACAAAAATGAAGCAGATAGTTCTACCAGCCAGTTGATATCTTTTCTGAGTGGTTGTAGCAATCTGTTATCCCTGACCATGTATCCTGTGTTTCTCATGTCTTCAAGCACTGATGTAGCCTATTCTGAAGTTTTGATTATTATCTGCTTCAATAAGACCTGTGAGATTAAGTGAATGTGATATATTTTGCACAGAAGGAGATGTAATCCAACTTTTTGAGGACTTTGTTAACAATGTTTGGAAAATCTTTTTTCTTTTTTTATGGCTTGTGAAGGCCAGCTGACCTCTATCAGAGAATGCAGATCAGTCATCACAGTATTAAGACCATGACAGGATGAGTGTGGAGTAATATGGAACTTTGTGCTTGAGATTTCCCCATGTAAAAAGTTGTACATGTCATTTGTGAAACTAATTTTATCAATTATTATTTTTAATTAGGATCTGCAAACTCCATTGAAGAAGAACTTGAGCACAGAGTTTACACTGAGAGCAGCTGTCAGCTGTGATTCTGATAGTGGTATTGGAGGCATGTCCCCTGTCAGTAATGTGGAAGGTGAGGTGGTCCCCCATTTGAAATATCTGAGATTTGGATGTTGTGCTCAAATTGAGATTTATGAGCAGTGATCAATTCTGGATGTTTTCTTTTCACAAATTTCAGCTTTTCTGTAGTGGTCATGAGGGCAGTCTGTCTAAAGTGCTGCAACAAAAGAACTTGGAGTAGCAGTGGTCCTTGGATTTCAGAGCTAAAATATTGCTTTTTGAAATGTAGTCAGTTTTGGTGTATTCAAAATTAAATCACCAGTTAATTGTGTTTGGCAGAGGGATGATCCCCTTTCCCCGCAATTGTACAATACTTTGCAGAGCCTTTCCCAGTTACCAAATTTTGGCGGCTTGGTGTATTCGATGTTTGGATCAGTTCCAGTATACTGTGTTTGTTTCACCTTTGAGTGTTTTTCAACATTTTCAGTCTTGGTGGTCAAGCTGAAACAAGCTTTCAGAAAAATTCTGATTATTGCTTAAATATATGTCTGCAGTGCAATGGAGTAAGTTTCAGAATATCACTATACTTTATTGTAACTTTTTCACAACTGTCTTCTGAAATGTTCATTGGTTTTTACCACCTTTTTTTTGCCCCTTTTACCTTTTGACCTTTCAGAGTCTGCATCTCGCTGGGCTGATCGTGATACAGTTATTCTACGTCAGGAACAGAATGTACACTACTCCATTTGGGTCTCCTTCTTTGAGATTTACAATGAACTCACGTATGACTTGCTGGACACAAGTCCCACTGCAAATGGCAAACGACAAACCTTAAAGCTGTGTGAGGATAAGAATGGAAGTAGCTATGTAAAAGGTACTAATAGCTGTTCACAATTTTTGCTTGTTTTCCATAATAATACCTGAATCATTGTATGTTTGTTTCAACTGTCTGAAAATGGAGATTGTGCTTGATCGTTTTTAGTAAAAGCTCAGTATGTAATGAAGTGAAAGAGAATGAGTTATGTGCTGACTAGGTCCCATGTTCAAATGAGCTATCCTTGATGTTACGCTTGACATTTGCTGAAGCAGGACAGACTTCTACTATTACCATAATTCTGTTCTGAACTTCACTGTAGTGTCTTTTTGGGAACAGTGTGCTAATTGTTTTTATGGTGTAAAGTTTAATATTTACATTTGGGAAAATTTTAATAAGGAGGTTATATTAAGATGATCAGATTATAATCCGTGCTCTGATTTCTAACTTGTACGTTGAGGATAACCTCCGTGTTGTGTGGCACCACACTATGCTCAATGGGGTAGATTTTAAGACACATTTAGCAATTGATGTCTAGGCAGCCATTAGGCACGGTGGACCATCAGCAGTAGAACTGTATTCCATCACAATCCTTAACCCCCTGTTCTGGCTTGCCCCCAGGCTACTATTATCATTAAGCTGGGAAGTCAATGATACTACTTTTAATGTCGAGTCATAGTTAGCACAAAGGATAATATGGTTATTAATTAATCAGTCATTGATTGCAGCTGGCCCATGAGGTAGATATTTTCATGGAATATCTGCAGTGTGGAAGCAGACCATTTGGCCATCCAGTCCACACTAACTTCGGAGAGCATCCCACCCAGATACCCCCCCCCTGCCAACCCTGTCCTATCCCTGCAGTTCCCATGGTTAACCTACCAAGCCCCTGGACACTGGGCAATTTAGCATGGCCAATCCACTTGACCTGCACCTCTTTGGACTGCGGTAGGAAACCAGAGCACCTGGGGAAAACCCATGCAGGCGCAGCTAGAACGTGCAAACTCCTGACACAGTCGGCTGAGGGTGGAATTGAACCCAAATCCCTGGCACTGAGGCAGCAGTGCTAACCGCTGTGCCACCTTCCCTAATCAACCGGAGAGGTGTTGTTGCACAGTTCTGGAGCGGGGGTGGCTTGAACCCACATTTCCTGCCTCCGAGGTAAGGACAACACCTCTGTGCCTCATGAGCCCCACTTCCTCAAGGTAGTGTCCTAGGTCCAATTATTTTGTCTGCTTCATTATTATTGACCTTCTCTCTGTCATTAAGGTCAGAAGTGGGGATGTGTCAGAATCGTGAAACATCCGCCATTCCTAACAGCACTCTGGGTGCATCTACACTACCTAAATTGCTTAAGGCAACTCATCTTCCAGAGGGCAATTGTATATCATTGACAGTACTCTGGATGTTAGTGAAACAAAGCTTCTGTAAAGACTTTTCTTTTGACCAATTCCAAATTTTTGTTTTTTATTTCACTTGTTTAATTTTAGATCTCACCTGGATCAATGTGATGGATGCTGAAGAAGCCTGGAAAATACTGAAAATTGGGCGTAAAAACCAAAGTATGGCCAGCACGCACATAAACCAAAACTCCAGCAGGAGGTAACTTCTTTTCATTCTGGATTCTACCCCTTCCTTCTGTAAATGCAGGCAGTCAGGCCAGACGCTGCAAGATGATTTAAAATGTCCCAGAACATGAATCTCAATGTTCCCATAATAAAAATATTTGCTCCTGATACTTAAGCCTGTGATTTACCACCACATCCTGTCAATTCCTGCCTGCCTGATTTCTTTGCACACAGCAGGGTATTTGAACTAGCATGGAGTCCAATCTTGACTCTGTGGTGGGTAGTTTTTTGACTGAATTAAAATGTTGCCCATAATATTGAGCGGTCAAAATTCTAAGAGACATCCACCAGTTATAACTTTTATAACACTTTTTTTTAGAAAGGGCTAATTTTTGTTTTAGATGAAATGAAAGTAACCATTTCCTGTAAGATCTGGCTATTTAAAAATGTATTTGAGCTGTATTGTTCCCTTGTGTATTCTGATAAACTGCGACTTTATTGTGCAGGGAAAGTATTATAATTGCCTTTTCTGCTTCTACTTCTGCACCCACCACCACCATTTTGTTATATAGCCACAGTATCTTCTCTATTCGGATCCTGCACGTGTCTGAAGATTGGAAGGCTGTTCTTAAAACCAGCGAGTAAGTGTTAATCTGCATAAATATTTTGCTTTTCTCCTGACTATTATTACAGTGTTTGATACAAAATTTGTGGCACAAAAGGCCATTTGACATTGTACCTGTGCCAGCCCTTAAAGAACTTGAGCCCTAATCTTACTTTCCTGCTCTTAATCTGTAGCCTTGTTTTTAGAATTTTGTGTGCATCCATGTACTTTCTTTTTCCCCTGTTTTTCATGTTTTCCCTGATGTGTCAAAAATTTCTGTTTCTGCTAACCATTTTCAGGCAGTGTTCTAGTCCTCCAATCTTGAAGAAATTTCTCCTTTTTTACACCCCTCTGGTATTTACGCTAAATTTATGAACTGGTTATGATCTTTCCACCAATAAACATAGGTCTTTCTAATTCTTCATACTTTTTGTCATTTTAAATTTCACTCAACACTGTCAAGAAAAAACACTTGAATATCCAATCTTTCCTACATAACTAACATTCTTAATTCCTGGAAATCTCAAACCTCTTCTGTATCATTTTCAATGAAATATCCTTCCTGTAATGTGACCAACACTGTACGTGGTGGTATAGCTGTAGCATAAGTCTCTGCTCTTTAATGCCTTTTCTTGGTGAATAAAAGTGTCCAGTGTGCATGCTGAACAGCCTTATTTGCTTTCCTGACCACCCTCTACAATCTGTGTTTGCATTCCTGATTCCTCCCTTTGTCTAAACTTCTCAAATTTCCCATGATTTATTGTGTATTGCCTTGTCTTTCTGCCCAGCCCAAATGCATGATCTCTCACTTATCCAAATTGCATTGACTCCATTTCTGCCTATCTGAGCATTTGATATCTTCCTGCAGTCCTGTGGGATGATCTGCATGTGCTACCATGGAATTCTTTTGAGAACTGTGACTTGCAGATTTAAGTTAAATTAGGTTCCTTGGTTAGTTGTTGCAAGCTTAATTTATGAATGCTGCCTTCCTTTTGTCAATAC